CGTGCACAGCGGTACAGCGGCAATGATAGCAGTAACTAAATTGAAAGAATGTCAAGTCAAGATGTGCGAAAAGCGATCATCTCAATCAGAGGTAGCACAAGAGTCTGTCAAGTCAAGGTATATGAAAAAGCGATCACTTCAATGAGAGGTAGCACAAGAATAAGGCCGGTTATATGGGAATATCCGACAAGGAATCAAGTGCTAGGAAAATGACCCAATAGTCAAGTTGTTGGCCGTGTGATAGAGCAAACAACACACCGACCGCTCGGGATGGCGCTCAAGATCGAATGGCGCTCAAGATCGAATGGCGCTATGAGCCTTTTCTGGTGGTAGATATTATAATTCTGGTGCAGTACGCTGATGCAGCTAGAAACAGCTTTGTTGGTAACTCTGTAATGGAAGTGTTGCTTCGCACTTCTGTTCAGGAGTCACTAAGTACTGTTTTTTGAATAAATCTAAGGCATGGACTTGAACAGTTCTTCTGTGTCACAGGGCTTTTTGGGTTATTCACTTTGATGTCAAATTCCTTTCCGCAAAGCATATCCTCACCCAAGTATTCATTTCGACAGGATGGAGATGGAGAGACTGGGCGCGGAAATCAACCCAATATACTTGGATACGAGTCGATTAAAAATCGACCATTCGAATAAACCATTCGAATATGTACAATCGCAATTCAATATTCGCAGTTTTTCCATTTTCAATATTCGAAACTTGACCAATCAAAAAATAGGGTTTCAAATAAAATTCGAAAACTCGAATAATCAGGAAACGAGGACCAGGACTTATAATAACGGGCTGAGGGTGTTTACATGTTTTTGTGTGTCTGTGTATGTCTGTCTGTAACGAAATACACAGAACAAGTCAGACAAGGTGTCAAGCCGCAATTTTCTATACAACACGCGTTGCTACATCCCGATTCACCATGCCAAAGCACGAGCACATCCGTTGAGTAGGTCCCTCAGGCTCCCGCCAGAGTGCCGAAGCCATGCCAGCGCTACGCCAGCGCCGAACCAGCGTTTCGATCGATTCATGTGTATTTCGTCGGGGCGGGGCTAGCTGACCTAGTTCTCAGCAGGTAGATGTCGCCAACGAAATACACGTGTATCGATCGAAACACTGGCTCGGCGCTGGCGTAGCGCTAACATGGCTTCGGCGCTCTGACGGGAGCCTCAAAATCACACCCCACCCCAATACGGATCCACAAACGTCTGGTGTGCAATATTGGATCCGTATTACCACTAATTGCAAAGTCATGATTATGTTTGGCAAGTGAATGTGCAATTTTCATGATCTTTAGCCCAAAAAGTGATGGAATCACTACTCCACGAAAACGGCGCGTCAAAACGGATTATCTGAAAAGTTGTATCCAAATTATTCGAGTTTGCTGCAGAGCCAACTGTTAGGAACAGCTCGTTTTGTCTTCTTTTTTCTTCTCCCAAAACTCGATAATGAACCTTTTTGCAGCCGTGACCAGAGTTGAGCAAGAGGTCAGGCATAAGTCTTTCGAAAAGATCCTCCTTTTCTAGAAGCAACGATCCTCCTCTTCCTCATTTTCACCTCCGAAAACCTCAGAAAACGACATTTTAAAGGTTACCGTCTTTTTCAAAGAGTTTTTGGATTTGTTTGTACTCCCAATTTTCTGTGATTGCACTTTACAATTACACGTGATTTGACGAGTGCTCTTGATCTGATTGAGTATATTGAGGATCATAATTTCCCCAAGACTGAGATGTTTAGCTCCAAATTTTCACTGTAGCAAGAAGAAGCTATGAGCTCAATAATCATACCAAGAATGGATTTCTGGATTTCAGGGCATGTAAAAAATTTCCGCAAGGCTATAAATGTTCAGGCGGCCTGACCTTTTGAGGGGTTGCGCCTGACCCGATCAACTTTATCACCGGAATTTTTTTTCACCCTAATTTTATGAGGTTCGCCAGTACAAACCTCGAATATTCTACATTAGGTGTTTGAGCTTATTTGGACTTGTTGCGGCTGTGATCGATGGAGTTGAAGGACTCGAGGTGAGAAACAAGTGATTGAAGTTTTGGCAGCACTTCTTGATCCATTTTTTGAAAGCTATAGGAGATCTAATTTCTGCCACAGACTGATAACGAGTATTACTTCGTTCTGAGCACAAGAAAGCAGACTTCTTTTAGTTTTGTGACCAAGTCAATCATGTTTGAAAATCACGCTTTCTAGAGTTAGGAAGCACTGAAAAATGTGATAGGTGGTTGTTTGTAGAGCTCGTATGGGTAATTTGGCTTGCTGATTACGGAAATCATACCCACGCTACACAGCAAGCCTCTTTGGTGACTTTACCGTATGTGTAAGGTATAAGATAAAGTTTGGCTCCAGATAGGAGTTTGGCTGAGACTTCGTTAGTGGAGTTAACCAGCATGCGGTTCACGACATAGGCCCCTCTCCAGTGGAATAGTGATAATCGCTAGTCTAGTGCTCTCTTCTTCACCTTACTCGATCGTAGTATCTCCTCAATGACAGGTCTATTTTGAGTAAAAGACATTGCGTTGTAGTGAAAATTTAGACCGTGCTAATTGATTTTTGATCTAGGGGTAGTTGGAATAGAGAGCTAAATGACGGTTTCTTATAAATAAAGATTTCTCAATCGATTTTACCGATTTTTGGAAAATCTTGAGTACAAGGCTAGGAGTTGGTACAGAGGAGGAGGTGAGTGAGGGTGTTGATAATGAACAAAAGTTTCTTTATTGATTTTATCGTTGGAAAACTTTGAGATACAAGGTTGGGGTTGGTACAGGGGAAAGTGAAGGTGCTGATTATCAATTAAACGGCTTTAGCCGGGCATATCAGCAGGTTTCACATATGGTTGCTCGAATTATTCGATAAATCATTCGAATATTCATTCGAAATCGACTCCTAACGTTCGATATAATCGATATCCATTCATTCGAAACTTTTGATTATTCGATTCTATTCGGGACTCATTAGTTCGAAAATTTTTGATTTCCAATTTATTCGATATCCGTTTAATCGAAAAATTTTTATTCTCAAATTTATTCGATATTCATTCATCCGATGAAAAATTTCGAATTTTTCCAAGAATAATCTGCTACCACGCACCGAGTGCGTGGTAGCAGATTATATACCCTCGATATCATCCCATATGTCTTCCCTCAACATGACGTGGATTACGTGGCTTGATGAGGCGCCGCCTCGCCTCGGGCTTGCGCCACGTTGCGTGCGCATTTTCGGCGTGATGTGGCAACAAGAAGAACGTGGAAAAGCCTGCGCCACGTTGTGTTGAGCGCCACGTCGCGCCAAATGATGCGTTCGCAACATGGCGCAAGCCCGAGGCGAGGCGGCGCCTCATCAAGCCACGTAATCCACGTCATGTTGAGGGAAGACATATGGGATGATATTGAGGGTCTGCGTTAGGACGTCGTGAACCGCGATGTTGAATGGGCAATCACGTTACTTGAAATGAGCAAGCAAGGGAGTAATCTCATAGTTTGCCCAACGCAAGATACGGCAGTAGAATTTGTGCGCCACTGATGATGAGTAAAGGCCGGTTAGTGTCGAATGGCTCCGCGAATAGAGTAGGAAAAACAATTTTGCACGTAAAGTCAGCATATCCGATGGCATACAAAGAAGCTGTTATCCACAATATGTTTGAGTCTGCAAAGAACATCAATTATGGCAAAAGTAAAAAAGACAGAGATGATTCACTGAGAATGTCAGCTAAGATTGTGACTTCAAATGAATATACGACGCAGCCTAAATGTATAAAAGAAAAAATACATTTTACACAACCTGTCTTTCGTACAACTTTTTTGTATTTTCCTGCAAGATGACAAGGCGTTTAGGCGAGTGGGTCTCATATGTTATTCACTTACAGGCTCTGACGAAGGCGAGTTTGCCGAAACGTTAGCCTAATAAAGGTATACCAATCTTGGTGAAGGCTTAGACATTACACGAAGGCTTTTTACATTCTTGCTCGTGACCCAAAAAGGAACGGCAAAAATGAAGAGCTATCTAGCACAACTGATCTGCTGCCGTATCTTATGCTATGTGAATTGTGAGATGCCTGCTTTTTTTAAACTCATAGTAATCTGACTTTTTTGACATCATAGTCATTCGAGCACGTTTTAAACCAGATTTGTGCTGCTGCTACGCTGAAACTTTGCGGGTAGACTTCCATGCCCACTCTCTCGATTTCTACCCTGGATGAATTGAAAGGTATTTGACGGCACGGAAGTACCGAAGTGACTGACTCCTTTCCAGGTCTCTGAAGGGCTGAAGTCGGAACGTCGGGCTAAGTAAACTGCTCGTCAATAAAAACCTGTGAGGCATAGAAGAATTGTTGCAGTCATTTTTTATTTGCCGACAAAAAGGAGAGCTTATATAATGTTGTAACTGTATACACGCAAACTGAAGAAATGCTGCACAACGACGTTTAAAAAAGCGGACTGTTTCATCTCGAAGGTTTCGTCAAAATCACTCACCGAGATTATTACATTATGGATTATGGTTTTCTTATTTGGATAGAGTCGATTCGTTGATCGCAAGGACTGGACATCACTGCGGAGTACGCGCCGCGAGATAAAACGCTTGTCCCAATACAAATTCGCCATTGTATAAGTCGCCCTCTCGTAACATTTCAACCGCGCCGCGAGCGGTCCGCAGCGTTTGAGCAGTCCGTGCTGTCAACGAGTCAACGATAATTATTACTACCGTCTGCGCCCCAGAGAGGTTCCCATGTGAACCAGCGTGCGTACGTGGTGCGACGCTGCCTTTCGCTCTTTTTGACACGTTTCTCCTGAGATTTCAACGGAAGTGCCCGAGGTTAACACGTTCAAAAGTGCGAGAGGCAGCGAGATGACGTGGTACCTATGGGAACCTCTCTGGGGCGCAGACGATACATTATTATCATTTTTGTTTAGGTATTTGCTTCACTTTGATGTAGCTTTCTTGATACTCTTTCTGACTGTTAGAACATGCAGTGCGAATCTTTTAATCATTTCGTTGAAGTAAGAGACGTACATTCTGATTTTAATTCGCATGCTGTTAATCTACCACAGTTCTATAGTCACATGCATCTTTAACAACATCTGTTGGGTGTTTGATAGCTTTACGAAGTTGAACTGGATTCCAAGTAGTTTTTCAATATCTTTCACTGTCGCGGTATACTGCAGTAGCAAATCTCTTCTCGCCTGTAACCAAAAAGTTAAATTAAATTCAATAAATGTTGATAGTTGTAAGCACCAGGCAGTTGGGATCTCCATCCATATGAGGAAAAACAAATGATAGAACTTTTGTCGCTTCTGCATTAGCACAGTAGTCGCCGTCGTCGGCCCACTCACCGTCACAAGTGAGGAGAATTCGATAGAGATGAGTTGGATATCTACTGAAAAAGTGTCATGGACAACTTTTTTCCTCATTAAGCATGCGATTGTACATCGATCATAGTAGCAATGATACCAGGTCACTATTTCAGACAAGCTAGATTTTAATCATAGTCCCATAAAAGATTAGTTTCCGAAAATAAATCCATAAATCGCTATTTCGTATTTATTTCTGTTCAAAAATCAGTGCTACCGCCTTACCTGCACCGCTAGTATAGATTGCACAGCCCACTACCTTTACAAAAATTATATATGCTGACCAAATCTTGATGCAAACGTTACAATCTGGAAATTTTGACAAAAAGGAGAATCAACTTGTTTGCCTACATTAAGCCAGAAATGATCAAACAGCACAAATGCTAATGTGAAATGAAACTTTTTAGTTGACGCAGAGGAAAAAGTCAAAAAATTACTTAGAGTTTGCGCTGTGCGGGTTTGAAATGCTGATCAGTCTATTTGTCTTTCCAGTCTACAGTATGTCAACTTTTTTAAATTATGGAAGTTTCCGTAGGTCTTGTGATTTGGCAGCTAGTAAGATTACATACCGCAAAAGTGTTTTTTGCATAACATCGCTATATACATTAATAGCTTGCATTCCCTGTTCCGACCCCATCTTTATGCCAGTACCTTGCCCCTCCATATTTTCGTAAACAACATGCTCACATAGCCTCTTGCGCCATGACCAAGCCGAATCTCAAGCAAAAAATTGATGAGATTGATGCAAGTAATCGACAATCCAACAATTATCATTCTTTTTGTAATGTTCACTCACCCTTTATAATAAACTCACAGCCCCGTAGCTCAAAGTTTGCAAAAAGTTAATAAATTCAGTAAACTATTGTCGCATGCTGATATCGAGGAACATCAAAACTAATCACAGACTCGCTCATAAATCATTTTCTCATATCAGATGGTAGAAAAGTTGCTTTACTTTGTCAGTTTCTGATAATTGTATGGTATTACAAGTTTTACACCTCGAAACGACATGCTATGTTTTCCATAATAAGATTTTGACATCTCTACATTCAAGCGGACTGGGTTTCAAGGATTTCGAGGCTAATTCAGTAAGCGCACCTCGATTTCAGAATATACTTTGTTGAATTGATGAGATCGGTTATTTAACGGAGAACGATGTTTAGAAATATTTGTGATGGAATATTATTAGGTTGGCACGAAAGTTTTTGCGTAATTCAAACAAAATTCAATAACCTTTCAAAGACCAAACCTAAATTCACAATCTTGTATGCTAAAAATATTAGAAGCCTTACGCTTCATGATGAATGTTTAAGCATAAGATTTCGTGAGCTGGACATCAAGAACGAAGCTCTCGAATATGGGGCTTCAAATTTTGCAATTTTGAGTTTGGTGCCAAAAAATCGCAGAGTGCCGCTAGCTAGCCGAAAAAAATCTGTAGAATTTACTTTACTTTACTTTAATTTACTTTAATTTACTCTTTACAACACAAGTCCTTATGCTACTTTGGAAGGCTTTGATCTTGCACGGTGAAGCAAAATCAAAAAATTCGTGAAATATGTCATTTTTGCGGAAAAAATCTCCTCATGTCCGCAGTTTTCCGGAGAAAGCACTTTTTTACAATCAAGAAAACGTCACAAGGCTCTAGATAGGCACTATGTCTAATTTCTGGTTGCAGACTGTGTTCCTGTGGAAAAACTAGAGCGATAAGGGGATTTGTTCTGTAAAATGAGAAATTTCACAAATTTTTTGTTTTCGCATTTCCACGCGAGATCAAAGCCTGCTAAAACAACATATGGACTTTTGCTGTGTAAGTAAATTCTACAGATTTTTTTCGGCTAGCTAGCGGCCCTCTACGATTTTCTGCCACCAAACTCAAAATCGCGAAATTTGAAGCCCCACATTTGAGAGCTTCGTTCTCAATGGCTAGCTCATGAAATGTTGTGCTTGAACTTCCATCATGGAGCATGAGACTTCTAATATTTTCGGCATACAAGATTGTGAATTTAGGTTTAGTGTCTGAAAAGTTATTAAATTTTGTTTGACTTACGCAAGAACTTTCGTGCCAACTTAATATTATGTGTGAATGCAACGTTCTAGGTTGACGCAGAAGTAATGGGGGTTTCTTGCTACAGCCGTAGTATGAATATAAAAATGCGTGTGGGACCCTACTTAAAACAAAGCTTATGCTACACAAAATGATTACCAGATATACTCGGTGATTTGCATAAAGTTCGAAGCCAAAATAACAACAAAGCAAGCCGCACGTAAACATTCGTTGAATGCATCCGCAATTTTCACTGCTGCAAACTTTAGAAAAATAGTGGTAGGAAAATGGCAAACAATTGCACGCTAGTTCTATACGGACAGGTGTATTTAAAGAAAAAAATTTGGAAACAGAAGCACGAAATTTCTTTCCCTGTACGTGCGTTCATCAAGATCTCACGGTTAGCAAACGGAAAAAGGGTGTTTCTTGACTTCTAGGCTCAAAAAATTCGGAAAGTGCGTCCATGTGTTCTATTAATATCTACTATAATGGCCGAGTGAGGGGCTTAAAATAATTTTCTGGCGGAGATTCGATTTTTGTGGTATTCGACTACTTCCTGATTCCATCTTTCAATTAAGTAGGCTATGAAAAAATATCGTGATCGTCTTGTAAAGCTTGCTTTGCTCTATCAAATGCCCTATTTTCAGGTGTATAAGCCGCACTTTTTCGAATTTTCGATTCACTGTGTTTCGGAATGCGATCCTTATGCCGCATGATCTATGATCTATGATTTACAATCTCTAGGCATTACGCAGCACGGTATATGGTCCTTTGGTCAAAGTCCTTTGGCGTGTTTAGGCTGGTTGATTTCAGAAAAAAACCCTACGGCTTATACACCTGAAAATAAGGTGATATACTTCAATTTTCAATATTCAAACTGCTTGTCGCATGAAGATCATTACAATTGCTCGCATAGTCACTGCAATGTTGTGTTCGAGTGCATAATGTTGTGAACCTTGAATGATATTCTTTTTAGATAACAGCATAACCCTGACAATAACTCATCTAAACTTGAACTCTGAGAAAAACTTACGATCTCGAAATTTTCTTTGAGCGTATCCCATCGTTATTGTCGTTATAAGTGCATCCAGTAATGGCTACGACTCTTCCAAACTTTGTTACCATCTCATTTGTGTACTCATTCAATGGTGTCAGGATATCTGCAAAGATAAAAGTGACAAACAGAACAGTACTCACAACTGCATATACTAGGCCGGTGAAAGTTCGTTAAGTTCTTAGACCTTCGTGCAAATTCTTCAAGATCAAGGAAGACAAAACAAAAGTATCGGATGCAAACTATTGGGTTGTCCCGAAAGTTTTGTCGGTTTTTTCAAATCACTATAAAATCACGCACAATGAAGACCTGAACGAGTTTCAACATGCATTCGATGCACCTTTCCTTCTCTTTCTTATGGTTACATTTCCAAGCCACAACCCTGTATGCTTTTTTTGATAACTGTTACTGTTCTTCACCCGTCATTTTTATCTGCTCAAAGTTAGGCTAATTTTTAAAAATTTCATTCTAAAGTTTCGGAAAGGACTAAGCATGGCACAAATAGAACAATTCTCAGGCTATACGGTAGTATTTTTAGATTCTTCTAAATTGCTGTTTCTAGCTTTAGAAAATTATTTTTTCGGAGGTATCAATTTCTGGCAAAACCATGGAACACGCAACTGCGGCAAAAACATGGAAGCTTTCGAAATTTTTGCGAATTGAAACTTGGTTGCTGGTAAACAACAATTATGCAACAATACCAAGTTTAATTTGCTTTGAAAAATCACCTTTTTGGAATTTTTGGTAATTTTACGTGGTCGACGTAATCAAAAAGCCGTGATTTTTCTTGAATAAATAATTATTTTAAGACTTGTTAAACGTGACCCATGTAATCTAAAATAATAATGTAGCCGAAGAATGGCTCTACATAACAGTTATTAGCGCTTTTTGAAAGTAGTAGGAGAAATTTTTTAAATTTCAGAAAAGATTTGGCGTTACTGCTGAACTGCTCAAAAATCCATGGCGATAACATCGCGAAGACAGGGTAGATCAGAGAACAAACATAGCTGTAAGAAAGAGGATGAAAATCTGAATCAAATGATACCTAGACATTCCTTGAATTGGTGTTCTGTAGGTTTTAGTGAGCGATGGAAGAAACCGACAAAACTTTCGGGACAACCTAATATATTCCTCTTTCCAGCAATCATGATTTCATGGGACTTATGTTTTCGAAGTGATTCTTCGGATAACTAATAGTCGTCGGGGTTCCAACTTTTTTTTATTGAGTCCCACCGTGGCTAATTTCCAGAGCTTTTATTTCCTTTTCCTGAAGGAGCTACACTAAACATTAGTTAGAGCAGGCTTATGCAACGCAATGCTAATTTGTATTTTTCCCGCTAACTTTTAAGCTTTCGAAAATAATCATTCGATTAGTGTATGAGTTTTGAGTTAGTATTGTAAAAATACATTAAAGTTTTGAAATTTAAACGTTCTTGAACTCAATTATTACCGAGCTTATTTTTGAGAAGTAAGTGAGGGACCACCGCGTTAACACGACTTCGGGCCGCGACTTCGCGCACGTTGAAGAGTGTATTTTTAGGCGTTAGCCAACAATGAGACCTTATTCCTAGATGTACGCTATGTCTGTCCATGCCCAATTTTCCGGATGAAATCAAGTCTTCGACTTCTGTCACATTAGAGGCACTGCTCTTTACAGTGTAAAAACGAGCTCTCAATCTCAAACGGTCATCAAATCTCCGTCCTTCCCGTCCCGCTGCAAAACGTAAAAAACCGAAGTGGGAAAATTGCTTCAAAAATTAGACGCGGCTAAGGTCGTCGCGCTCATCAACCTGGGTGGTGTGAAGATAGATATAAATGTGGCAAATCTGATAATCATAATGAGGAGCGGATTTACGACAACTATGTTTTTGCACAAATTTGAATTTTCTTTCTCCAATCACCCACGTTGATTCAAGGAATCATCTAGACACTTCTAATTTCTGACGTTTCTCTCTTTCGGGATTTAACTTTTACAGTCTGACTTGGGTGATCACTTGATTAAGGGCGTCGCTAATGGCAACACCAAAATTTCATAACTCTAAATTGGGTGCACGATCCTTTGAATCATATAAATGAACTCTCTAGTTACCTTTGATGAATTTGGCTTTCCAAGGGATGATGAGTCGATGTTCATTGGCCAATACTGTAAATAGATGCATTTGAGTGTTGATGTCATCAAACATCACAGTTCATATGTAAGCATGGAAAAATCTGGTATTAATAGAGAAAAAGTGCATAGAATGATGTTGGCTAGGCTCTAGGCTCAAAAACAATACAAAAATAACAATACAATACCATACATATGGTTATTCCCACTCTTATTTTCAGGGTTCTACGTTCTATAAGCGTAAGGTATCCGGCAGGTACAACCTACTGAATTTCGGCAATAAAAATAAGGGTTCAAAATGTAATCAATCCTGTAACATATGTAGTAAAATGGATTACAATGACTACGTAATTTCACAAGTCACTGGATTCAAAATAAATACCTATAAACACACAGTGAGTAACTGCACTATCAAAAACGTAGTATACTGCATTAGTTGTGGTACTTGTGGTTTACAATATGTAGGAATAACCACCCGCAAACTTCGCGAAAGAATCAAAGAACATATTAGAGGTATAACGAAGGATAATGAAAATAAAATACTTTACAGACACTTCAAGGAAAAAGGATGTAACAGTAATGATATTACAATTTCTATCTTGGACAACTTAACTGAAAATCAAGATACAGAAATACTTAGAAACAAAGAACTTTTTTGGATAAAATTGTTAATGACTCCCTTCCCATTTGGTTTCAATGACAATATTGAAGGCTACGGAAATCTCAGTCTAATACGAAACCCTTTAACAACCTCTAAAGCACATCCGTTTTTTAGCCTTAGAATTCTGAAAGAAAGAAAAAATAGAGGAAACCATAGACATAAAAATAGACCAAACAGTACTATAGAAGAAATCTCTGATGAGATTAATTTACTATTCGAACAAACAGAAAAACCATATGACATTTTCAAATACCTAAAATCCAAACCACATAAATATATTTTTAAGCTTATATACCACCTAATTTATCCTACCAACTATTTTAATATATCAAGAACAAATGAAATTACCCTATTTTCCGGCGTATAAGCCGCAATTATTTCCGTCGCTCGCGGGCTGATGCGAGATGATGGTCGCGATGTGCGAAGCCGCGCAAGCAGCCAACTACCACCTATTTTATCTATTAGTTTATCTGTAGCCTGATTGTAACTTTCTGCTTTCGCTCTTTCTTGTGGAAGCATTGAAAGCACCGTTGAAACATCAACATCAACATCAACAATCATTAAAACCGAATAAAATAGCAGCAGCTTTAACCTCAGGTAACATCTTTAAAAACAAAAGAAAACACGGTCAACTCCATTGTATCCTTGAGGAAAAACACAACCCAAACACCCCAAAGTCGTCCGAATCTCTCAAAAGAATAAAGAAATATCTGAAACGTGAACATGCGCAATGAAAAGCAGTCACAAAATGCAGCGATTTTTCAGTTTGTTAGATCAAAACTTTCTTTTCGAGGGCTCTTTCGCGCCATTGTTCGCTGCGGCGGGTGCGGCTTATATAAGGTGCGGCTTATAAACCGGAAAATAGGGTATATTGCTTAGCACAGTTTGCCACTATCACTTCAATAAACACGCTGACAAAAATAAAAAGGTATTTCAAAATCTACCTTCAATTAAAATCCCTTTTTACAACTCAATATTAGATAGAGTTAATCTTAATAAAATTTTCAATAACAGAGCCGTCAGAGCTCTAATTGATGAAAGTAACACAGAATTTAAAAACTTTAGAGTCATTTTTGAATACAACAGTCCAACCTCTACGCGTATTTTCAACTATAACAAGTTCCTGAAAGCTATCCCAAGTTTGAATACTGAACTCATACCTTGTATTTGTGATAATTACCCCACTTACGTATCCAGCCATCACAAACACATTGTTACAGATGTCAGTATTTTTAATAGATTAGACATTTACGAAATTTTCAAAAAAGGTACAAAATTTCGACCTCCATTTAAATTTTCGCAACAAAAAATCAAAAGCACTTGGCTAGATATTCTTAAAGAATACATTGACAAAATGAAGAAAAAATACCACTTAAATAATCGTACAATCGAAAAAATATCTAATATAGTTTACAATAACTTTGGAAAAATTGAGGCCAAACTGTTTTATTGTACCAATAACAATACATTGGTTAGTATTAATAAAAACGAACTCGACTATATACATAATTATTTTGTAATCTGCCCCCTAGACAAAGCCATTTCTAATTATGGAATTATTTGCAAAAGACTATACTTGAAAATAATATTAGAAGAAATGGGTTTAACTGTGCATAATACAGTCAATAACATATACGAAAAGGTTGAGAATTCCAATATAAATGACATCATCACCAGACATCTTATCTTTACGAATAATCTGCACATTAAAAACAAAGTAAGCAGTAATATACCAGTCATATATTGCTTACCCAAACTACATAAGAATCCTACAAAATTTAAGTTTATCACTGGTGCTTATTACAGCAGCACCAAACATATAACGGTTGAGCTGTTAAATCTTCTAAACTTCATCAGGATTCATTTTAAAAATTATGCAAACACTGTTCTTAAGAATAAAAAATGCTTACAAACCCACTGGGCTATAAATGATATAAACATATCCGCAGACCTGGGAAACATTGAAGCAAAAAACAAAAGACTCTTTTCTGCTGATTTTACAAATATGTTTACTAACATACCTCATAATATCATAATTCACAACCTTAAAGAAATAACCAAACTATGTTTCAGAAATGCTTGTAAAAGATATATAAAAATCAATAATAATCAAAGAATAATGTACACCTCTACACAGGGCGATACAGACGGCTATAGGTACTATACAATAGAAGATCTAATTTATCTTTTAGACTATATTCTGCGTAATAGTTTTTGCCGAGTCGGCAACCAAATATTTCATCAGATAGTTGGAGTACCTCAAGGAGGTAATGCTAGCCCTATAATTGCAGACCTTACTCTCTCTTACTTTGAGTACACACTTGCATGTAAGATACAGAAATATCAATTCCTTTTCCATGCATATCGATACATGGACGACATTTCAATTATTCACGATCAAACACAAGAATACATAAAATCCTTATTGACTCAAGTTTATAATAACGTTTTGAGTATGGAGACTACTAATCTTCTGGACCTTATTTCTATTAGAAATAATGTCATCATCACTAAGCAATACAATAAAACTGAAGCTTTTGGTTTTGAAGTTGTAAGGTTTTCACATGGAACTTCACATATAAGCCTTACTCTCAAATGTGCTATTATGTATTTATACAGAAGTATTGCGAATTTACAGAACCTGCACTAAATTTGAGGATTTTTATGAAAGGACTGAAAATTTGATTAGACTATTACTTAGCTTAAATTATGACAAGGAAGTAATTCAGCTAGGAATAATCAAATGCGTTACTTTTAACAAATGTATTACATATAAATATTAGGTTGTCAAGAAAATAATGTCGGTTTTTATTTGCTTGCTTTAACAAAGCAAACAGACTCAACCCAACAAAGGGTAAGGGGTACTGTTCGATAGAGCAAAGCAAGCTCTACAAGATGGCACTCATATCTTTGCGCCATGCTCGATCCACGGAGAGTTTGAACTTAAAATCTAAAGATTTCCAAATGCCCAAAAAATCGAAAAAAATCAGATCTTCGTCCAAATAATTTCTACGGACCTCCCACTCGCTCACATCAATACTATCGATATCTGATATCCATATGTGCGATTGCCGTATATTTTCCTTGACTAGAAACTGAAAAAACGAAAATTTCCCTGATTTTCTCAAAGCAATGCTGAGCCGTTTTTGCATATGTAGTTCTATACTACAAGCTTAGGTAAGTATAACTGTAGATTTTCAGCCCATTCCAAGCGGTAGTTTTCGAAAAATAACGAATTCGGACTTTTTCGTTTCAGTTTCAGTGCTAAAATCGACATTTCTCGAAAAGTACCGCTCGAAATAGGCTGAAAACCTACAGTTATGCTTACCTAGGCTTGTGGTATAGAACTACATATGCAAAAACGGCTCAGCATTGCATTGAGAAAATCAGGGAAATTTTCGTTTTTTCAGTTTCTAGTCAAGGAAAAAATACGGCAATCGCACATATGGATATCAGATATCCATAGTATTGATGTGAGCGAGTGGGAGGTCCGTAGAAATTATTTGGACGAAGATCTGATTATTTTCGATTTTTTGGAAATTTGGAAATCTTTAGATTTTGAGTTCGAACTCTCCGTGGATCGAGCATGGCGCAAAGGCATGAGTGCCATCTTGTAGAGCTTGCTTTCCCCTATCGAACAGTGCCCCTTACCCTTTGTTGGGTTGAGTCTGTTTGCTTTGTTAAAGCAAGCAAACAAAAACCGACATTATTTTCTTGACAACCTAATACAATCAACTAAGCACATTCAAAAATGTAAAAAGATTCGTTTACAAAATGCTAAATAGCATGACTTGAATCCTTGGCCTTGCCTTTGACCTATCTGACCTACCCCACAGGTATAAAAGGCAACCCTGTTACGGTGTTATCACTCTCTTCCTTCTCCAGCCCACTCCTCCCTACTGATGAGCCTCGGGAGTGGTCTAATACAGCTACCTGGCTAGGGGTAGAGGCGAAACAGGATCATTAGTGTATAAGTTAATTTATGGATCAAAACTTAATCATTACTAAAGAATATAGTACAAATTTTCTTATTGCTGGGCAGGATGCTGCATTTTAATACTCCAGCGCAGATTAATTGCTGTAGGAAGCCCATCGAACGATTGGGACTTATCTATCAGTTATTCTGTGACTAACGGAGAAGGATCCTTAGTGGAAGTGGCCTCTCCATTCAAGGTGCATATAGTCTTGAAGATCAGTAAACGCTGATTTCAAATTTGTCTTCCTTATCTGCGAGTGCTTTTAGATGAGGAATTATAACCTTTTATGAATCAGAAAAAATGTCGCTTGATTTGAATAAATGGCGGAAATAAATAATGGTGATAGTCTTTTCAACTCGGCAGGTGGAATAACGGGGAGCATGGGGGTAGCAAGCAGGAAGTTTTCTATTTATAAACATTCTCAACGATCACCAGTGTTCCAGTTGAGTTTACGAGAGAGCTCTTTGAGTGATTCTCTACTAACTAAGTTTAAATTTTATCTACAAAATTTCTCACAAGAGACACGAAACCGCTTCGCAACATCGTCAAAACAAACTTGATCGTGTGGTGGACAAGTTTACACTTATACTTGATTTGTGTATCAAAGGCAGCGTTCAAGCAAATCTGGGCCTATGGGAATCTCACCTGGAGGGTAATCTTGGAGCCCTAATTAGAACATGATATTCGCCTCCAAAACGGACCCCAGGATCGCAATCGCATGGATTTATGGCGCGACACATCAGTTTCGCGCGAGGATCCGCGCGTGTCGCGCCATGAATCCATGCGAATACTATCCCGGGATCCAGTTTGGATTCGAATATCTCAACAGTGAGGTTCACCATCTGAGCTGCCGCTTGGGCAATGTCTTAGTTAGGGCTCCAAAATTACTTTCCACATCAGAACCCCGTATGCCCAGATTTGCGTGGACGCTGCCTATAAGATCGCGCAAAGCGTTCTCGAGTCGTCTAGTTATTACAAAAGGAAGTGTAGGTTCGGAACCGGTCAGGCGGTGTGCTACTATTTTTTGCTGTCAAAGTAATATGATTGCAAATTTTAAAAGCTTCGTAAACACGCCTCACTTCCACGTTGAAACCAAGCCCCTTGTTCTAATGTGGTCCTATTGCATTACTCTTCGTTTTGTAGATAAAAGGGTGGTATAATGATTGGTAATTGGTATAGGCGATTCCCATGCGTATAGCCCTGCAGACATTTGACCATGTTGAAATTGTTAACCTCCATTCTGAAGCATTAGTTTTTGTGTTCACTAGCTATCGGAAACTGCGACGCGCATACGTTGGCAAACGTCCGCAAAACTTCTCCCGCTATATTGTGTGAGGCATGGATGATATCTGTGAGGTAGTGTGCAAGAAAGTCGTGCATTTAAACATAAGCAGAAATTCTTGCAGAGATAAAAATACAAAACTTTATTTTACGTTCTTTGGTATCCTTCGCATATTATCTTACCTCTTCCTGCAACGGCTGAAAGTGTCTTATAATGCACATTTTCATTAGCATCGAAAGAACGGCGTCCACATCCCTCCTTATCCTTCAGCAAACGATATGTACACTTACTGCCAAGCAGTTTTTCATTGTTATTCTTCTGGTAGATTTCAAACAAAGCAACATCGTACACTAAAAATGTCTTTTGTCTGCTTTAATATATTAGGTTGATTCATAATTAATGCACGTTTTGATCAACCGCAGTAAGTCATACACTTTTCATTCTTATATAGGCTTCAAAGTACCATTGGATAGAGCAAAGCAAGCTCTACAAGATGGCACTCATGTCTTTGCGCCATGCTCAATCCACGGAGAGTTCGAACTCAAAATCTAAAGACTTCCAAATGCCCAAAAAATCGAAAAAAATCAGATCTTCGTCCAAATAATTTCTACGGACCTCCCACTCGCTCACATCAATACTATCGCTATCTGATATCCATATGTGCGATTGCCGTATTTTTCCCTTGACTAGAAACTGAGATAACGAAAATTTCCCTGATTTTCTCAAAGCAATGCTGAGCCGTTTTGCATATGTAGTTCTATACTACAAGCCTAGGTAAGTATAACTGTAGATTTTCAGCCCATTCCAAGCGGTAGTTTTCGAAAAATAACGAATTCGGATTTTTTCGTTTCAGTTTCAGTGCTAAAATCGACATTTCTCGAAAAGTACCATTCGAAATAGGCTGAAAACCTACAGTTATGCTTACCTAGGTTTGTAGTATAGAACTACATATGCAAAAACGGCTCAGCATTGCTTTGAGAAAATCAGGGAAATTTTCGTTTTCTCAATTTCTAGTCAAGGAAAAAATACGGCAATCGCACATATGGATATCAGATATCGACAGTATTGATGTGAGCGAGTGGGAGGTCCGTAGAAATTATTTGGACGAAGATCTGATTTTTTTCGATTTTTTGGGCATTTGGAAATCTTTAGATTTTGAGTTCGAACTCTCCGTGGATTGAGCTTGGCGCAAAGATATGAGTGCCATCTTGTAGAGCTTGCTTTGCTCTATCCAATGGTAATTAGAAGCCTATGTAAGAATGAAAAGTGTATGACTTATTGCGGTTGAAATTCAAAACGTGCATTAATTATGAATCAACCTAATATATATATTATATATAATATATATAACATATATAATATATATAATATATATAATATATATAATATATATAATATATATAATATATATAATATATATAATATATATATGCTGTACAATTTCTTCTATGCTTGCACACAATTGCTTCTATTAAAGAAACACGGTTGAAACCACTTGGGTTTCTCTTTTTTGATCTGGTTTTCAAACATACTAAATCTATCACCTTCATCGCGGGAGCCTGTAAAGATCGCCATGTCCTTACATCCCTCCAGCACACACAATAAATCTTTTTCGGTTTCTGAATGTGGTTTGATCACGGCTGATACTCCAGGACCATCACAAGCTGACCAACTACGAAATGCTTCCTTAATTGATATCTTTCATTGTAAGTAATAATCGCCCATTTCCCGCTGCAAAAGGTGTCCAAGCAAGAAATGGCTGCATAAGGTAGAAGCGGCTCAGATACTCCGCTTATGGTCCGAAGATAATGAGCTCAGCAGGCTTCAGGGTAGATAGAAATGTCGAATGGTAGTCATATGACAACTCTAGATACATTAGAGCACGATTTCAAACTTTTTGTCTACGCCACCCATGTTGATGGGCGGAACCACCTAGTTCGCTTCTATCTTCTGAAGCGTTTTCCTCGTTTCGGACTTCATCTTTTGCAAGTTAGGCGATTACGTAATTGGGGGCCCGCCTATTATGCAACTTCAAAATCTCATCAGCATCAGTTTTTTACAGGTACCTTCAAAGACACTGCTCGACACGGGTAGCACATGGGAGAGCTGGAGTTGTTCGCGGGTTTAAGGAAGGGAGGATGTCATACGGCGTTTGGGGCTGAGCGTCGAAAAGGTTGCAATAATTCGCTCCTTGTAATAAAAAATAGATTTGAAAATATAGGAACATGTACGATAATTGAAGGACTTAACAACATTTTTTAAGAATCAATTGGCCGATTGACTGAGAAGCGACTCGTTCGCAACGCGCAACGCTGTCAAGTCAAAACGCTGTGGAAAATGGGAACAATGTACGAAAAAATAGGAATTAGGAAGCATTTCTATCAAAGGCATACAAATTTTTATCTGCTTGATCAGATTGGAAAGAAAAAAAATGTCGCTTTTTTTTTTCAGCTAAATTTGAATTTCCCAGGAATCAAAATTCCGAGTTTTCAGTATGCAACTGTATATATTTATAGGTGGAGCTGAGGACTCTGGGGCGAAGGTTGTCATATCTCCTTTTTAAACTTTTCGTGTCCTTTAGAGACAAAAAAATACAGCAAGGGTACATATGGATAAGTGCATGTTCCTATTACATGTAGGTGCAAATGAGAAGTTTGTAGAATTTTTTGCGGCAGAAAATTCTATTTTTTGGCATTGTGAGCTGCTCATATAACTTGGCCTGCAACTTTGCATCATGACTCACCAAAGTTCAAAGGTCACCTTGTGGAGCACACTTTGCTCTATCGCACTCCTCATTTATTCTAGATTCGTCTTGTTGCTTTGATATGAAAATCGAAATCTTTTTTTTAACCCATCAGTGGCCTCGCCATCTAATAAGAGACACCTGAGGTGGCAGGTGGCCCATAGGAAATAAATGGTAATTTCTCTTTTCACTTGGACTTTTGCTTTTTGACACAGCTTTTTTCTCTAGTGTCTAGTTCTCTATCTTTCTAGTTCTGTTTTTCCTTTCTACGGCACTTTAGAAAGTGTCGTATTTTCTCCGCATTAGCTAAACTTTTCTTTCAAAAGGCTTTGCTTCATAACGTGAATCTTTCTTCCGCCACCTTGTCCCAGCCTCAGTTGGAAACCAAACTTCCCCGCTTTGCTTTGGCAGCATGGATCGTATTTAAGATGCTTTTGGCTCCCTCAAAGGGGTGGAACAGACTGCGCCACGTATGCGGCGGCCACATAAGTTGCGTTTTAACGTTTGCTGCTTAGGCGCGCGCTTCACTTAACCCACTTGATCCGCTTGATCCACTTCATCCACTTAATTCACTTCATCCACTTCGTATTTGTTCCAACCAGTAGCGAAGTAGAAGAAGTGAATGAAGTGTGGCGCGTTCCTTACGCAAGCAAAAATTATGCCGCCAATTGCACCAGCGACTGAAGTAGGCTGTCCTGTATGTGTTCCTGAGAAGAAATTTTTCAGCAGCCATATCAGTGTGCCAGCGCAGCTTTGAACATTTCCTCAGTTCATGCAGCAAAAGTGATTATACAATACCTGGTCATCTTGCGAGCATGTCCCACATATATTCTCCAGCTTTGTTGATCCCATATAGGTATCGGTACATTTCCTAAGAATTGAATAGAGTGAGACAATAAATTTCCTTTGGTAGTCCTACTCTATAGCGGGAGAGTCAATTTTATACCCCCGTCCAACCGGTTTGTTCAAAGCCAAATCCATAAAATCAGGTTCGCCATCATTTGACCGTGCAGGTAGTCCGAGTAATTCTTGAATATCAAATATTATTCACCAGTCTGGCAGTATAGACAGAACTTACTCATCCACAAGTTCATATATTCCACCATCTCAAATGGAGGTAGCACAAAGTGGTTTTTGAGACTCGGCCCTGTTGCAAACATCACTGTGTGCATATCCGGATTTACATAGTCATGACCATGGGAATTATGTTTTCTAACGTCCTTTTTCGAACTAGAATTACAAGTGGCTAAACTTCATTCAAGAATAAATGTTGCGCTCAATGAAAGTACTTTATAATAAAACCAATTTTTCTTAACTGTCAGTTGTGTATCGTAACGTTACGCAGATCTTTTTACTTATTATTGCCCTTCACAGTTCAATTTATGCGACTGTATAGCCGTTTCTAAAAGCTTCCAAGCACGTCAGCTAACAAAAACAAAGCTAAAGAATGGTTTTAAAATTTTGCGGTTATTTGATTAGTTGTCCACAGATTTTCCTTAAAGACGAGGCTGCAGGAAAAAGAAAATAAGTTTTCCTCGAACATTTTCAAAATATGTTTATTTTAATTTTATGGGACTTGCTGATGAAGGCACAAACTTTTATGTAGTCGTTTTCTGCCCAGTTGTATTATTTTGAAATGACTCACACCACAACGCCTGTATTCTCTTCCGAAATTAGTACCAAATCACCAATTCGATTAGGGTAGGTGAAGCGCAAGCGCAAAGGCAATGTTGATCTTTTAAATACACGCACGTGGTCTTCCTTCTTGCAGGTGAACCCTTTTTCCATGTCTTCAATGCTCAAGGCTAAAATAAACTGATCGATGTTAAGCGAATAATCTTAGCACTTTGTATTGTCGTCATCGTTTTTCATGAGAACAGTATAAAGCATCAGTTTCCTGCTTACAATATTTAAATGAGTTACGTGAAGACGTGACTCTGTACTTTATCTGATATCTTTCTTGTGCTCGGGAAGGATAACACAAGGATGCCCTTTAGGAAGGGCGAAAGAAATTGCAAACATCCCTCAAAGATCTTGGATTTGGTGAATAGTTTGCCCAAGCTCAAAAGGATTGTTCTCTGCTTATCAATGACATTATCCAATAAGCCTTCAAAATCGTAAAAATCTGGTGAGGCTATCACTTGCTTTTATTATAGCTACAAGAAAGACTTTGGCATTATGAATCCACCCTTAATTACCCACTAGCTGGCTTACCCGGCACCGCTTTGCCTTTTCAAAACAATATGATAAAGGTCTCATCCAGGGTCAAGCGTGTTGATGCGATCCTGGACCCTCATTTACGACCCCCCCCTAGGGGTACCCACCCGTACGACCCCCGCCCCACCTACCCCGCTCCCCTCTCCCCCCCTCCCTTACCTCTCCTGCCAAATTCCTCGCGGAAACTTGGATAAACGGATGTCAACCTCAAAAAAAAAACACCTGCGTGAGAACTTCAGTGAGGTTTCGGAAGCAGGTTGTCTACACCAATCGGTACATCCAACATCTTTATCACACATATATGCCTTTAGTAGCATTTGAGCTTCTGAAAGTGTTTATTTTTTGGATTTTAGTCATGCCAGCAATGTTCGATCCCCGTTTGGAACAATATTTTGCGGGAGCAACAGCGATTCCCATAAAGAAAGAACTAACAGGGGAATGGTCAGAAGTCGAAGTGGCCAATCCACACAAGCTGCATACCATTCGATGCAGCATAGAATGCTGATTTCATATCTGTCTTCCATATCTGCAGAGCGCCTTTGTAGGCGAAGTTATAAGCAGCTTTACGGTGAAAGAATCGTACACAAAAACTGCGAAATTAGACACATCATTGTTCTTTTAGCTCACTTCTAGGTACGAGTTATATGAAGTGACCCAGTTGCATGCTTTGGTCCAACACTGAGCCAAGAATGGCTTTGTACGGCCAAGTTTCCCCTTTACACGCACAATTTCTTAGCAAATTAATGACATTTAACGGCTTATAACTTCGCCTACAAAGGCGCTCTGCAGATGTGGAGGACAGATTTGAAATCAGCATTCTATACTGCATCGAATGGTGTGCAGCTTGCTTGAATTGGCCACTTCGATTCCTGACCATTTCCTTGTAAGTCATAATCTTTCAAAAGTGCGGCAAATGAAGCGAATTTCTACGCTTGCAAATGTTTTCAAATTATTGTTCACTTGTTTTTGTTTGATACATTGGTACACGGCATTCATGAATTTATTGTTAAGAACATGTAATAATTACTCAAACTACCCCCTCTTACAACCCCCCCCCCCCTCACCGTAGGCCCCCTTTACGACCCCCCGTTGCGACAGTCGCATCACACGCTTGACCCTGGTCTCATCCCTGTCCCTGTACGACCTTTCCCTGTGCACATTTTTACATACCAGTTCTCTATTTCCGCCGTTAGTAATGAGCATGCTAACTTACCCGTGTGCCAACTCCCAGCCGCGTAGCTCAAATTTTGCAAGAAATCGATGAAATCGATATCGATCGATGACAGAAAGCAGCCTGCGAATGCCCCGCCCAAGTATATGTCTGCTGAGTTTGGCCCCGATCTGTTCAGAGATGGAATTTTCTTTTCGGAACATATGTAACGCAGATATAAATACAAACATAGAAACATACAAACAAAACAGACATTCAGCTTTATATACAAGATTCGAAAGGAATACACCAAGTCCAATGTTAGCTTACAATGCTGCAAGAACGATGTCTTGCAAAAAATGTTTGCAATTCTTGTTTATCTGAGCTTTTAGGATACTGAATCTTGAAAGTAGCAATTAGAAGGTGACTAATACTATTCACTAGCTATCTGTTATCTCCACCAGTCAAGTTATAGATGTAGATTACTCAGCGCAACCATGCTAGCCGTGCCATTTCCATTCCATACAACAAGTATCTTTGATTACATCAAATCATTTTATATGATCATGTGTGGCATTGCACACACAGTCCACCTTTGGCGTTCCCATCCTGGATTTTTGGAGGAAACAACCACTTAGGTTAGTGTTTCGATGTGTTCTCAATATTTTCTTTTCTTTTTAGGTAATAATCACCTCAAATTCATGTAATCGATAACAATCGATAAGTCTCTCACGTTTTTGCGATTGCAAATGCAATAACACACATGATCATATGAAATGATTTATGTTATGACTCTTTGGATCAAAATGATGACAGTCATAGAGCAAATCTGAGACATGCGGCAAGTCCAGTTGACCTACTTATCAGACTTACTTCCGAGATTATGTTGAGAATAATGTGTATGTGGTATTAGTTCGTAAGAATACGTATACTTACTGGATTCATGCTTGAATATATGTGCTATTATACCGGGTATAGCAAACATTCCAGTAACATTCATATAGTCTTCAATAACTACGCTGTGCTTGATTTCTGTCATTCCTGTATACTCGGCAGTTGCTGCAGAAATTGATAAGAGAAGCATACCATGATCTGAGACGATGACGATGTTGATACAGCAATAGAGGCCCTCTTTTTTCAATTCTTCAATGAATTTGCGGAGTACATCATCGACTTCGATTAATGTATTATTGAGCTGGAACATATTACTAGACAGTGTTTATTCGTTAAAATGTACGATCTGTCCATATATTCCGGTTATATGGATAGAAGCAGATGCGGTTTTGAGAGATCTAAAGCTGCCTACCGACGTGAAAATCTATGTTTTTTTCAGCAATGCGCTAAAGTTTGCAAAAAAGAGAGATTGCAGAATCTAGAAAATTCTATAGTCTCATTATTGTTTGATCGCTCTCGTAAAATGCCCCTTGGTCAAGTAAAATTATTCTAGAGTAAGCAGCAGGTTATATGCCCATCATTTGCGTCTATGAAATTGAAGCCTTGTGCACTGTGCACGGTAAGCTCTACACTAAAATTGGACCATCATTAAACAAATACAAATGTTATAGTTAACTGCACTTAATCGCCTGGACTGAGCGCCCGCGAGCGTTTCTTGCCCTCTAACATTGACGTTCGCGCGCATGCGTCATCATAGCGCCCGTACTCGGCAGTCACGTTGCAGGCACGCTGGCGTGCGTTCAATCTACAGCAACCTGGGCAATTTCGTGCAGGCGACTTTACCTTTGCACCCATGGTTCCATGACCAGTAGCGTCGGGCTCCATTATGTATAACATTATGAAATTTGGACGATCCTTTCCCATTTTCAGCCAGTTTAGTACCTAAATCAAACCAGTGATTTCTAAGGTGTATTCTTGAGCATGTGGGTTGCATAAGCAGCTCAAGAATATGGGCGTCATTAGAAAATAAAGAATTGGCACCTTCAGTACGCCACGTAGGCATGCAACAAACGCATTCTAGCTCATGGACGAAGATTACTAAATGTGGTCGAACATTTACAATGACCTGCGCAAGTCAGTCTGTTACCGACTCAGTGCTGTGCTTATTATTTCAGTTTGATGCCAATTTAGTCCCCTGGGTATAAAGAGCTTGTTTGGTTGGGGAGGGGTGCGAACCCTGATATATTGGGTTATGGTGGCGTTTCAAACCACTTTGCTTTTAGTCAATTGACTATGCTCGTGAAGGCACAAACACTTGACAAGTGACAATGGGGTAATTCAAGTAGCTGCCAAAATTGAACGATTTCGTTTGCTCGATGTATTACTGTGTAATATATAGCTCCACTAATTGGCAGTAGGCCTGCAATAGAAAAATCATTATTTAGCCAGAGTAGAAGTTCATCATCACTTTGACACAGAGTCAAGGCAGTGTGCGCTCCAAATCTGATTTACTTCGATTTCCAGTGCTCAAACATTCCAGAAAGATGGGCAATTGATCTAAGTTTGCAAAGTTTCGCGAAAAAAAAGATGAGCGACTTTTGCCAAAAAAGTTGTGCATTTGTATGAGGGTGGAAAGAAAGTTCTCGTGTTTTGCATTTCAACAAACTCTTTGTTTCGATCCAAGCACTGACTGGGACATGCCACACCAGTGAATTAGGAGAAAGCATTTTTTACAAAAATATGGTACAGGGGCCTGCATGATTGCGATAGTCGGACGTGCGTACGTTCATTGCGCCGTGCAAGTCCAATCTCCTCGAACGACTCAGGCAGGTGCCAGCATACCTTCGATAGTCTAGAGACAGGGCGTCAAAAGTGAAGGTTGTTTGAACATCTGACGTCATAAATAGTGAAGGTTGTTTAAAGAAGTCAGAGAAGAGAAAATGGCGTAAAACAGATATAAAAAGCAAAAGAAACTGCTGAAAACCGGATAAAAACGCTGCAATAAGGTTTGAAATCTTTCATTTGACTCTTTTTCAAGGTGCAAGTTTCGCTCCAGGACCAGCAGCGCAACACGAGGTTTTGATTTTTGATGCGTCCTTTGAATTTTCACCCCCGCATTGACGTTCCTGTTTCCTGGGACGTTGTCTGGATTGTTGCGCTTATTGTTCTGAGCAAAAACCGCCCAAGCTGGAAAAAAATCGATGCGAAAGCACTGAAACAGAACAAGGTAAAGAAAAACGCGTTTTTTACGATTTTTCGCAAAAATTCCACCATAATCGAAGAGGTAAGGGCTGGCACGAAAAAGCCGCGTGAAAAGAGTTAAACTAGGAGAAAAACAAGAGGTTTTTGAAAACAGGGTTTTTGCCGGATTTCTCGATCAAATCAAAAAATGTGGTTTTGGGACGTTGTCAGCGTGAAAATAGTGATCAAGAGCTTCAAAATGATATATAGCTTGCTAAAATTGGGTTCGAAACAGCGAAAAAAAGGATATCAGAGCCAAATGCTCCGCGCCCCGCGTTTGGGATAGCGAGGTAGCTCGCAGCGCGCGGAGACGCAGACGAGCAGCGGAGAGAGACCAGAGCAGACGGGTCATTTGGCTCTGGTCGTAGATCTCCGCGGGGTCTCAGCGAAACCATGCAATATACATACCATTCTGATCGTCATGACACGATGAGAAGAACTGACAACGTCCCAAGCTTTGAAAATCACTCATTAACGCGATGGACCAGCGTTTTCGTGCGCGACCCTCTGCGCAAGATTTAAGCGAGTTTCTCGTTTTTATTTAACTCCAGTAGCTTTCCTAAACTTTTGAAACTCGATTTTAGTCAAATGAGAGGTTAACTGAGAAATTTTGTCCTGAATTCTGGCGAAACCACAGAAACCTTCTTTTTAACGTAAAAAAGGCTATGAAAAAGCGAATTCTCTTTCGCTCGGATAAGTTAAAGATATTGTTCCCTATACAGTGCTGGATAAAATTATAGGTCCACTCTAAAAAGTGCCATAAATCACTCTGTTGTTAATAAAATGTTCCAAAATTTTGTACAGCCGTGTGCCTACCAGCTTACTATCAGTCATCAAAATGGGTCTCGTTTTCGTTTGGTTATTCAAGAAAAAATTGAAAATTTCAAGAAAAGCCGTCTTGAAGGCTGGACAAAATTATAGGTCCACCTAGAAAAGCACTTGTTAGCTCCCAAATTTTTTTAGGCAGGTACACATCTAAAAACGTTAAACAGCTGCTTTAGTCAAGCTGTGTGTGTCATACCTCCAAAAAGAACTGATCATCTGCTTTTTTGCCTTGAAAATGCTTTCACATTTATCTCGCTCCACAAACCTGCGTTGAGTAAGAAATTCTGCAGTTTCTCAGTTAGAATTGGAAGAACGGGGTCTCATCTGCCTTCTGGATGCTTTTGACGTGAGCATTGAAAAAAAAATTCGACTTTTTGCTGCTGAAGCAAATCCATCATTGACAGTACTGCAATCCTGAGCTCAAATTTCTGCCTTCAAACTTCTTTTACAATGTTCTCAAAAGTATTAAGCAAAGTAAAGGCATTGTTTCTACGAAGGGGAGTCCGTTTTCCATGGTTAAACTTGGCACACACAACTCATGTTTCGAAAAAGAAGCAAGGCAGCTTTATGGACACTTGCGAGTATGGCGAGCAGCTTTAATCTTGTGTAAAGAATGTTTCTACAATATCTTGAGGTTATAATGACAATGCATAAACGGTTTTAGGGCAGAAACTGAGGCTTACTTTCCCGACTGAGTCGATGTCGGATTTGCTTCCGCAGCAAAAAGTCGGATTTTTTCCTCAATGCTCACGTCAAAAAGCATCCAGAAGGTAAATGAGACCCCGTCTCTTCCGATCTAGCTGAGAAACTGCAGAATTTCTTACTCAAAGCAGGTTTGTGGAGCGAAATACATGTGGAAGCATTTTCAAGGCAAAAAAGCAGATAATTAGTTCTTTTTGGAGGTATGACACAGCTCCACCTAAGCGGCTGTTTAACGGTTTTAGATATGTGCCTAGTTAAAAAAAATTCGGGAGCTAAGAAGTGCTTTAATTAGTAAAAACTCAAGGTGGACTTATAATTTTGTCCAGCCTTCAAGCCTGCTTTTTCCAAATTTTTCAATTTTTTCTTGAATAACCAAACGAAAACGAGACCCATTTTGAAGACTGATGGTAGGCTGGTAAACACACGGCTGTACCAAATTTTGGAACATTTTATTGACAACAGAGTGAGTTATGGCACTGTTTAGAGTGGACCTATAATTTTGTCCAGCACTGTATTTGCTTCATTAACATTCGTTCCGATATAGTCAGAATAATAACATCCGAGGAGAAGCCTCGGATGACTTTTGTTTTTTTCCAGGTGAAGGTTGTGTCCCCTCATAGCTCTCAAAGTGAAGGTTACCAGAGTACGTGGCTCTATGTATCGAGGGTATGGGTGCCAGACTTATACTGTTCAACAGTTTCATCCGGTTCACCCCCTCTGCTATTGATCAGTGCATTGATCTGACCAATAGCGAAGAGTGAACCGACCGAATTGGTTGAACAGGATAAGTCTGGCACCTACCTCAGTGACATCGGACAAGCGCGGCGCAGTGGCCGTACGCACGTCCGGTTCTCGCGATCATGCAGGCCCTATAAACACTAATATTGAATTCTAAGAAAATTCAGGCAAAATTTATTTGACCTAGCCCATATCTCTAAATTCTATAGACGTTGTAAAATCCCACAAGCTTCAAATTGTAGTATACACGTACTCACACACTCAAATGCACTTTTTGTCTGAAATATGAGCTCAAAAAGCAAAAAAAAAGAGGTGACCGAAAAATGGCAAACTCCATCCTTATATCCTAGAATCTCCATTTGCACAAATATCAGCTGTTCATCCCTACTTAGGGAGCGGATGATTTGCGTCAAGATGTGTATAACATTTGAAGGGCTGATCACGCTCTTTGAATCATACTAACTAATTTGAAGAAAAACAGATCTGCTCCGATTTTTTCGCTTCCAGAGATGGAAATCTCAAAAGGCCAAATGAGCTTGCTTCAAGATATCAAGACTTGATCAGGGTGTCAGTAAACAACGACTTTTCAGTTGACGGGTAGGATGTCCTGCACTCATGATTGCTGGACAAGAAGAAGAAGACTGTTCACCATGCTATATATGATTGCTGGACAAGAAGAAGAAGCAGAGGTGCGGTAGGTGGAGCCGGGCCCCTCAAAAGTGAAGGTGGTTCCAGCTACCACTGGCCGGCCAAAAGTGAAGGTGGTAGTGCCGGACACTCACCTCCCAAAAACGTCGACCGGGGGGGGGGGGGAGGGAGGGGGGAGCGTTAACGTGACTGAGCCTATCCTTCCAGGTCAGTGCGCGGAAAATAAGCAAAACAAACGCAAAAAAGATTGTTGAAAGCATATTTTTATGTATGCGGCGGCATATATGTGTATTTAAAATATACGTGTTTAGTAAATGGTATGTTTTAAAGTGAAAGTCAACGAGATTTCAAAGATCTTATCAAGTAAATTTTGTTATAACGTACTGCGAAGGAAGTAGGTCGATCCAGGCAGTAACCGCCGAGAACCAGAATTTTGAATCTTACTATAATAACGCGCTAAGAGTGTTTACGTGTTTTTTTGTGTGTGTGTGTGTGTCTGAATGTCTGTCTGTCACAAAATTCGTAGAGCGTGTTCCAGCCAACGTCCTGGGCCCAAATTTTGCATAGCACTTGCTACTGGCATGAAAGTCCAACATGCAAAAGCACAAGCAGATTCGTTGAGTGGATCTCTTGAAAATTGCGCGTCAAACGGATCCACTTTGCATTTGGCCGACAAAATTGGGTCCGTAATTCTACTTTTTGCAGAGTGGTGGGTGTTTATGGCAAGTAAATGTGCAAGCCATGAATTTAGGCCCTAATAAGTGACCAAAAGTCCATTACTTTACAAA